AAAAAAAAAAAAAAATCCCAAGAAGAGAATGGAGGAGAAGGGATTCTAACACCCCAGGAGGTGAGGCAGTTGTCACTTCCTTTCTCTGTCTCTCTCTCTGGCAAGTGCACATATCCTATAGCAAATTTTATGGAAAAAAGAAAGAAGAAAGAAAGAAAGAAAGAAAGAAAGAAAGAAAGAAAGAAAGAAAGAAAGAGAGAGAAAAAGAGAGAAAAGGAATCATTTATGTCAACATGGATGAACCTTGAGGACATTATGTTAGGAGAAACATGCCAGGCACAGAAAGACAAATGCTATGTGATCTCACTTATATGTGGAATCTGAAAATGTCAAACTCACAGAAGCAGAGAGTAGAATGGTGGATATCTGAGGCTCGAGTTGGATTGGGGAGATGGTTGTCAATGGACACAGTATTTCAGTAGAGAGGAGAAATAAATTCAGGAGATCAAGTATACTCGTGGTGACTATAGTTCATAATGATGTATTTATGCTTGAAAATTGCTATCAGTAGATTTGAAGTGTTCTCACCACAAAAAATGTTAAGTATGTGAGAGAAAACATAACTTGATTTAGCCATTTCACCATGTATAGACATATCAAAATTGTTGTATACTTTAAATATATATAATTTTCACTTCTCAAAAAAAAAAAGTCATGATGTATTTTTCTATGTTTCTCTGTACAAAAAGGCATCATGACTTTTCCAACGACCCAATAGATGGCTGAACAAACTATAATGGGAAATTTGCATACTGGGTTGTATCTGTCTTATTTTCCTTATTTATTTCGGATAACTTTCCATATCAGTATATATGGATCGTTTATTATGTGCTATATATGTCATTAAGTGCTAAACAGCATCACATTGTTTAATTCTTACATCAAAAAAGGGGGAGATACAAATCCATTTTGTGCATGAAAAGATGGGAGCTTACAAAAGGCAAAATGACACACTCAACGTCACATGGCCACTTAAGCAGCAGCACTAGAATCTGAACTCATGTGGGTTTTAGATCCATGATCTTAACAATTACATTAGACCAATGTTTTGCAAACGGATCTATTAGTAGTGGAATCAATTTAATGGGTCAAAATTAGCATTTTTAAATAAAATAAATGATATTAACATGCATCATCACACATATGGGTAAATTACTATTTCGTGAATCTTTGTCTTTTTAACCTCTTTACCTCCCTCCTTCCCTTTCTTCCTTTAGAGAGAGGGGTGAGGCACCCTCAATAGGGTCTTCACATGATAATCCCCTTCCAGTCTCCGTTGGCCCATACAACTTGCATGCACACCCAGAGTGCTCAAGGAGGTCCTGAGATGGGATATTACCACTGCACCACCTCCTGGACCCTCATGAATCTTTTGTATGTATGTATACAAGTATATATTCATTCATTCATTCATTTCCTAGATGCTGATATATGTTGTGTTTTTTTTCTTTTAAGAGAGATTTTTGCTATAAGGCGCATGTGCTCAACCAGAGACAGAGAGGTAGAAAGCAAGAACTCATCTCCCATGGGGAATGGTCACGCGGCAATCCCTTCTCTCTGTTCTCCTCTCGGGACAACACATGTACATGTGCCCGGCATGTTTTAAGCTACTGGGTTTGGGACTCAAACTATAGTTGACTACATGGGAGTCCAACAATATAACCATTATGCCATCTTCTGATCCCAATTTTTTTTTTAAATTGCCATAGGTTCATGTGCTCACCAAAGAGAGAAGGGGGTGGAGGAGGAAACACCCATCGATGGGGCATGGTCACACTGCAATCCTTTCTCGATCCTGTCAAGATTGTGGGCAGGAACATGCACACACATCCAGCACGTTTCTGAGCTTCGGTCAACCACTACAATTCAGTTCCCTTAACCACTAAGCAGTGAGGCCAGTCCAGAAATGTCTTACTACAAGTAAGAGTCCTATAGTCACAAAACCCTGTACAATCACAATACTCTGCAATACTGCATCTTGATATTAAAGTGAGTTGTTGATGGTATGGCAGTTAAGTTAACCCACATAGTTAATTGTGTGGTTCAAATTCCTGATCCAGAGGCTTCAAAAACACATCGGTCATGGGACCAGCAGTTAGCATAATGGCTATGTCGCTGGACTCCCACGTAGCCGACCGTGGTTCGAGTCCCGTAGCCGGTGGCTTAAACTCACACCGGGTGCGTGTGCATACGTGCCCAAGATCCCGAGAGGAGAATGGAGGAGAAGGGATTGCGGCATGGCCGCATAGGGGGTGATTTCTCCCTTTCTATCTCTCTGTCTCTGTCTGTCTGGCAAACGCATGAGCCCTATAGCAAAAACCTCTCCAAAAAATAAAAAAGAATTATTTAAAAAAAAAACACATCGGTCATGTGTGCCTGGATGCCAAAATTCCTGAGAAGAGAATGGAGAAGTGATTGCAACAGGGCAATCCCCTCTGGATAGTGCTTTCTCACTTTCCCTCTCTCCCCTCCTACTTTTTTTTAAAGAATTATTTATTTTTTATTACTGATATTGTTAATATTATTTTTCACATGAGTTTTGTGAGAGAGAGAGAGGGAGGGAGACTGAGAAAGCAAGCCTCCAGGTGGGGGACTCAAACCATGGCCGGTCATGTGGGAATTCCAGCACCTTAACCACTATGCCACCTGCTGGCCCTCCCCCTTACATTTCTGTCTCCAGCAAGTACACATATCCTATAGCAGAAAAACAAAATTAAAATTAAAAAGCTCCTAAAAAATTACTTACTGTATATCTTCAACAGGCAAATTTAGAGGATATTCGGCATTTTTCTTGACTTTCATTTCATTCCAATAATCATTCAGCTTTTCTCCTAGGGCTGCTATTGTAAGCCTTCAAAAAGTAAATTATAGAACAATTCAAGAAAAAAATATTAGTATTAAATCTTTCTAACATAAGAGAAAATATAAATAGTAGTGATTATATGGGCACTGTAAAGAGAAAAAGAATCTAAAATGTATAGTTAACAACAACAACAAAAAACATTCATTCCAAGTAATGCCAATGCCCTATGAGGGCATTTACAAATTCCTAGCACATAACCAAGATCATCTAGGAAACAAGACCCAAAATAGTAAGGTGGGCCCTCTGTTGACAAAGTTGTGCAGGGTTTACTGAGAACTAAGGTTCCCTGCATTTTTTTTTTTTTTGAGATATTTTTGCTATGGGTTGTATGTGCTCACCGGAGAGACAGAGAGACAGAAAGTGAGAAATCACCCCTGGGGGTATGGTCATTCCGTAATCCCTTCTCCTCCATTCTCTACTCAAGACTTTGGGCATCCTCACGTGGGCCCGTTGGGTGCCTGACTCTAACCACGGTTAACTACGTGGGAGTCCAGCAACATAACCATTACGCCATCTGCTGGTCCCAAGACTCCCTGCATTTCAACCTCAACTGATAAACCTAAAAGCTTCGATTCAAGTTGGAACTCAAAACTTCTGGTTTACAAAAGTAAACAATCACTACCAACAAGTACATCTTAAAATAATTCTGTCCCACACTTAAGACTTTCATTTTTCTCACAGCAAGATGTTGATAATGGTTATATCAATGAAATTAAGACTAAGGCCATACTGAACAACCATTTGTTAATGTGGTAAGCACCTACTGTGCCAGAATAGTGTACAAAAAAAACTAAGACACAGGCAGTGTAATATTCTGAGTTTAATATCACATTTTATACTCTGGCAGATTAATACTAGATATTACCATCACCTTGTAGCTTATCCCCACTCTGCCTTCCCTCATCTTCTTTATTTTCTCCATCAGTAAATCCTACTATCACATTACTTACAGTACAAATGAAATTTTATTCTTCCTCATCTCATTCTCATCATCTCTATACCTCAATCCATGAGACTATAACCATTTCTGTTGAAAACAGAATGCTGATGTTCAATTTTACTCAATATAGTCTAATAGTTTTCAAAAATGATTAACGATTATCACACCCACCAGCAATTTATGAAAGTTTGAACTGCCAGGTGTGTTGCAAACACTTGCTATCTTTTTCATTTTAGAAGATGTTCCATTTTTGCCCATATGGTCAATACTTTCTGTTTCCTATTTAAGAAACCTGCCTAAGAACCAGCAGATGGCATAATGGTTTTATCACTGGATTCCCATGTAGTCGACAACAGTTCAAGTCCTGGATCTGGTGATTTAAAACTCACGCCAGGTGTGTGTGCCCAAGTCCCAAGAGGAGAATGGAGAAGACGGGACTGTGGTGTGGTCATCACCCTAGAGGGTGATTTCTTGCTTTCTGTCTCTCTTTGTCTCTCCAGTGAGCAGACACACGCTGTAGCAAAAGTCTCAAAAAAAAAAAAAAAAAGTTTTTCTTTTTCAGGGCCAACAAGTGGTATGGTGGTTAAAGTGCTAGACTCCCACATGGTCAACCACGGTTTTTGAGTCCTGGACCCAGTAGCTTGCTTTCTCACTTTCTCTGTCTCTCTCTGGTCAAATTTAAAATAATAACAAATAAAATTAAATAAATAAGAATTTTTGGAAGTGTTTTCTTTTTTTAACATCAGTGTGATAAGTTATATTAACTTTTTACTATTAAAGGCATCCATATTATTTTGGAATATGATTCACTTAGCTTTTATGGCATTTTTTTTACATGTTACTGGATGGTATTTGCTATTATTTTAAGATTTTTAAATCTATGAACATGTGAGAAATTGACATAAATTTCCTTTCTTGTAGTGTAGTCTTGAGTTTAATTATAATATAAAGATTGTGTGGCCTCATTTAACCTTTAAGAGAGTTTTATGTAAAACTTATACCACTTCTTCCTCAAATGTTTGGAATTTAATAATGTGGGCAAGTTCTCTAAATTTAAAAAAATTTATGATAGGGTATATGCACTTGCCAGAGAAAGGGCAGAGGAGAAGGGAGAGAGAGAGAAAGAAAGCAGACCTCCTAGGAAGGCGGGGAGATGGCCACACCCCAATCTTCTTCTCCATTCTCCTTTAGAGATTTTGGGCAGGCATATACAGGTGCCTGGTGTGTTTTTCAAGCTGCCAGGTCTGACCTTGAACCACATAGCCATGTGGGATGTAGCTACCTTAACCACAATATTATTGGCTGGCCCATGTGGGAAATTTTCTAAAAATTAATTCACTTTGAAAGGAATGTGTGCATATTATCTAAAATGATGAGAAATTGAGTCATTCCCTTGATGTCTGCATAACTATAGGATCTATGAAGGGGTGTCTTCAAAAAGTTCACAGAAAATAAGAATTAAATTCCAGAAGAAATAATAGTGTGGCATGAGCACAAAAAAGCACAAGAAAACAAGGATGTATATAACCATAATGTGAATGCTTAGTCTCAAGAGGACAAAGGCTTAAAATAAATGGTTAAAACGTGAAAAGAAAGATCCCAGCACACTGAAGGAACAAAGTCCCTCAACACCCTTCTTGCTTATTCTTTCAATATACATATCTAAGGCCACCTTACTGCGTTCTGGTTGATACCAACCTGATCATTAAAGCCACACAGGATTTAGTGCAGTCTATGATGATCTGTCTATATGTAAAGTGTATCCCCTGCATAACAGTGGAACGGCTAAAACTGAGAAATAAGGGCAAAAGTACTGAGTAGTTCTAAGGATTGCCAAGGATCCAAGATTTGAAAACTTATCACGTCATTTCTAACCATAGATAAAACACTGACCAGATGCCAGATGATTATGTAGATTTCAGTTCCTCTTTCTTATACCAAATTTCTGTTTCCAGTTCTTAAACATGGTATATATTATTCTGTTCACCTACTTCCTATATTTTATGAGCCATGTCCTACTAAATATACTTAATTTTTGGTCTGTTTTGATAAAAAGAAAAAACTATGCAAGGATTTTTTTTTTTTTCTTTCAACTGTCAAAGGATATGTGCACTCTCCAGAGAGAAAGAGAGAAAACACCACCAACAGGGTATGGTCACACTACAATCCTTTTTCCTCCATTTCTTTACTCCATCAGGATTTTAGGCACACATGCCCATGTGCCTGGCATGTTTTTCAAGGAGCTGGGGCCAGGATTTAAACCATAGTCAGCCATATGGGATCTGGCTCTTTTAACTACTGTACTAAGGGGTTGGCCCTTTAAATGCTTTCCATAGCAAAATAAAATAATATTTTAATTCTATTTTTCCATGAACTTTTAAAATCTACTCACAATAATGTCCTCCCTTCCATTTTCAATATTTTAAAAAAGATTTATTAAATCTTATTTACTATTATTATTAGTTTTGAATTTTGCTATAGGTTACATGTGCTTACGAGAGAGAGAGAGACAGACAAACACAGAGAAAGAAAGAAGGAAAGTGAAAAGCAAGCTGCCAGGTTTGGGACTCGAACCACAGTCAGCCATAGGAGCCTAGCACCTTAACCAACATGCTACCTCATTTCCAGTATTAATGTTTTGCATGTCCTCTTTGTTTTCTTGGTCAGTCATGCCAGACCCTTACCCCTTTATTAATCTTACTGAACAACAAACTTTTGGCTTTGACGGGTTAAGCTGCCAACTTGTCTCTCCAATTCAGGTTCCAGCGACTCTAATTACTCTTTGGCTGGAACCCATGGCCCCCCCAGAGGAACTCCAGCTATACCCTCGAGTCTTGTACCTATGCAATATGCCACTGAGTCCAGCTGCCCACAACCTTCACAATATAGGGCACTAACCAGTTCTATCCGGCCTACCCACACACTTTGACAATAGCAGGTTATTTCTGCACACCAATCTGTTAAGGCATTCTATCTTTTTAAATTACTAACTTTTGATTATTTATTGCCTTTTCCACGAGAGAGAGAAAGACACACTGCACCTCCAACAGTGTCTTCTTTTTTAATGATAGAAAGTTCAAGCCAAGTGAGAAGGAAGGGGAAAGGAGAGAGGGAAAGAGAGAGAGAGAGAGAAAGCCATGGAGGAAGAAGGCATCAGCAATAGGATCATGTTGTGATCCCCTCCTCTCAGCCCCTCTAGTTCTCAGCATCCTGGATGCCATGCACACAACTGACATGTTTTTCACACTAACCCAGGATCCAAACTACTCCACGGGGTCAACACTGAGATCCACCTAACTTAGTCAGGCCTAGATCACAGGCACACACATGCCTGATGTACTTGGGGAGGTCTCCAGATGTAAACCTGTAATATTTTCAGATCGGTCTCACAGAGGATCATGTTTTACCATTTTGCCAATCCAACCCTTAACTTCTCTATAGTTTATTTTAGGAATGCTTTTACAACATTTTTCTGAGCTACAACTGTTTACAACACTGTAAGTATTTTAAATTTATAAAATCAAAGGTACATTATGGAATTTTCAGAAAATGAGAGGCTGAGTAGCTTATATAAAAAATAAATTTAACCATCCTAAATATTGTTATCTACTTCATCACAAGTAGTATATTCTACCCTTTCATTATTGATGAGATACTTCTGAGATCTGTAGAAAATGAAGCAAGTTCCTGTTTTCTTTGCAATCCATTCCCTATGAATCTCAGTGAGTAACTTAAATAGGTTACATACCTGTACTCATTTGTATAATCAAAATCTTGTTTATTATGAGTAGGCTTAAGGAAATTACATTCTATAATTCCAACTACTCCAACACCCATATTGTTTGCCTAAGAGAAAAAAAGATGAAATCAGCACTATAAGTATACAACATAATGTACAAAATGTCCTTAAACAAAGACATAACTTTTATATTTTCCTACATTTTTAAAAGAATTATTTAATTTTATTTATTATTATTTTTTAATTTGAACAGAAAGAGACACAAAAAGAGAAAGTGAGAAAGCAAGTCACCAGGTCCAAGACTCAAAACATGGTTGACCATGTGGGAGCGCAACACTTCAACCACCATGCCACCTGCTGGTCCCTATTTTCCTACATTTTATCTCATATAATTCTCATGACTAAGACTGAAAAATAAAAAATCAGTCTGCAAAGTGATTTATTTTTCTAAGAGTTAATTCCAAAATATATTTGAGCTTTTCCTCCAAACTTCCACATTTGATAAAGACCCATTTAGAGAATTAGTATCATCCTCAATTTTATACATAGGAAAAGAACCACCTCTACTAGGAAGTTATTTATTTTTTAATTTTTATTTATTATAATTTATGTTTTAATTTGATGCAGAGAGAGAGGAAGAGAGAGAAGGGAAAAGTGAGAAATTCAGCTACCAAGTTCGGGATTCGAACAGTGGTTGGCTACATGGGAGTCCAGTGCCTTAACCATTACACTACCTGCCAGCCCCAGAAATAATTTCTTAAAGTAGAAACCACAAATATTAATAATTCATCCTGGGGCCAACAGGTGGCATGATGGTTAAAGCACTGGACTCCCACATGGTTGATCATAGTTCAAGTCCCAGACCTGGAGGCTTGCTTTCTCACCTTCTCTTTCACTCTGTCTCCATCTGGCCAAATTAAAAAGTAAAAAATAATAACAAATAAAAATAAATAAGTTATTATTTAGAAAATAATAGTAATTCATTCTGACACATGCAATGTGCAATGTGTAGAATGGACTCAGGCACATTCCCTAAGTTCACTAAATGAACGTTAAAGTTATTTACCCAAAGTTAACACATCAAATCGCTAATAATGATGAAATAAACATTTAGTTGGTTGATTCATTGTTTGGTTTTGTTTAGAGATATTTTTGCTATAGCACATGTGTGCTCACCAGAGAGACATGGAGATAGAGACAGAAAGTGAGAAATCACTCCCCAGGGGGATGGCCATGCTGCAATTCCTTCTCCTACACTCTCTCAGGATTTTGGGTACGCACACATGCGCATACACACGCACGCACCTGGGGTGAGTTTTAAACCGCCAGGTCTGGGACTTCTTGAACCACAGTTGACTATGTGTGATCCAGTGACATAACCATTATGTCATCTGCTGATCTGCTGGTCCCATTCTTGTCCATCTTTCTAGTCTTATATTCATGCCTCTCTCCCACTTTCCTGTTCCCCATTTATGTTGTGGTCCAGCTACAAGAAATTACTCCTTTTATATCATAATCTCAGAAGCCTGTTTCTCTTCCTTTGCAGATATTCTTTCTCTCTGGAAAGTCATTCTCAGGCAGACTTTCCAACACCGTGAAGTCAGCTGAGACTCCTCTCATCACCATTTTCTCCTATATGCCTTTTCTGATACTCCAGGGATGTTCCATAATCCCCTCCCCAAACAGAGCTCTAACAGCATGCTCTGTATTTTATAATCCCGCATACAAGCATCTAACATGGCAAATTAAACTGAGAATCTGACATTGCTTTAATAAAATGCCTATTTAATCCACAAAATGCAAACACTAGACTTCATCTACCGCTTGGTAAAAAAAAACATTAAAACTTTGCTGCAGCAGCCTTAAAAAAAATTATTTTATTTAACTTTATTTATTTTAATTTGCCCAGAGAGGGACAGAGTGAGTAAGAGAGAGAAAGAGAGAAAGAGAGAGAGAGGGAGAGAAAGCCACCAGGCCCAGGACTCAAACCACAGTTGGCCATGTGGGAGTACAACACCCTTAATCACCACACCATCTGCTGGCCCCTACAGTCTATTTTTACAAGTTCAAGCTTAACCAGAAATTATATACAACATAAAATTAGGAAGAATGGGCTATATAGCTTAGTTAATTAAGATTCATAAGTGGTACAAGAAAAAGAGAGCTGGTATAGTGGTATGCACCTGTTGTCTTAGTTACTCAGGAGGTGGAGGTAGAAGGAAGGCAAATTTGAAGCCAGCATGGACAACAAAGGGAGACCACATCTATTTAAAAAATGAATTACATTGTGCAGCAGATACACCGTTTCTCTTGAATCCCAAAGCACCTGAAAAATAAGTCTATTGCCAAAAATGCACTTCTAATTACCAATGAAATTCATTAACTTTAATAGTATTCATTATAGAATACTCCTGGAAGAAATTAGCATTTCAGTTATAAATGAAAATTATCCCCTTTTTTGTTTTTAGGGTTTTTTTCTACAGGGCACTTGCACTCATCAGAGAGAGAGAGAGAGAGGCAGAGAGAGAGAGAGAGAAATCACCCCCAAAGGGGGATGGCCACACTGCAATCCCTTCTCCATTCTCCTCTCAGGGTTTAGGGCACGCACACACATAGCCAGTGTGATTTCAAGCCACTGGATCTGGGAGACTCAAGTTGTGGTCAGCTACGTCAGAGTCCAGTGCCTTAACCACCACACCACCTGCTGGTTCCCCAAATTAGTATTTGTAATAAATGTCACTGATTACCTCCTATCATGGTTGCCAGATTTGCTTATTTTTTAACTAAATCTGGAAGTTGCAAACAAAAAGCACAATGAAGTTCATTTACTTCTGTAAATATGCTCTGTTCTAGACTCATGTTAAATAGGTGAGTTACTTACAATGCATGTTAAAAAGTATACACAAAACCCTCACTATTACTAAGTATATGTATACATATATACAGAACAGATCATAATACAAAGATTTAGAATAAGATAAGAATAAGAGAATTGAGGATTAATATACCTAATCTTAAAACCCTTTAACAAAGTTAATTTTCATAATTACTGCTTGAATCTTTATAAAAATGTACTTTCCACCCCAAAAAGCCTCTCTGAGAAAACATGTAAGACATATAGCCTGACATAGTAGACTATGTTCATCATACTAAAGTGAATTCTTCAACAGTGGAAATTGTTTAGGATAGTTTTAATGTATTTAAAAACTAAATCCAGAAAAGTGAATGGTCAATCGGATACTGTTTTTCAGGCTGCTTTAGTCAGTACTACTGAAAACCAACCCATTTTATTTGTCTGAAATAGTCACTGAATCTATATTCAAACTCAGTTTAAAAAAAAAAAAAAAAAGTGCATCTGGGACCAGCAGATTGTGTAATGGTTAAATGTCTGGAATCCCACGTAGTCAACTACAGTTTGAGTCCAGGACCCAGCAGCTTAAAACTCACCTGGAGGACATGTGCATGCATGCCCAAAATCCCAAGAAGACAATGAAGGAGAAGGAATTACAGTGTGGCCATCCCCCATGAGGGGGTGGTGGTGGTGATTTCTAACTTTCTCTCTCTCTCTCTCTCTCTCTCTGTTGAGTGCACACACACTACAGCAAACATCTCTTTAAAACAAAACAAAACAAAAATGTGTGTCCATGTCTGAGATCTATACCTACTGTTAGGTCTTAGGCAGATTTAATTACCCCAATTTCCTTATCTATAAAAAAAGGATAAAATAAGTCTTCATAGGCTTGTTTAGAATCAAATGACAAAAGGTAAAGGACACATAAATGTTATTAAATACTGACATATAAAAATCATAAGCAAAAGCACAATAAAATTATTTCACATTTGGAGGCTGGCAGGTGGCGTGGTAGTTGGGGACACTGGACCCCCACATGGCCGACCATGGTTCAAGTCCCAGATCTGGCGGCTTGCTTTCTCACTTTCCTTCTCTCTTTCTTACTCTGTTCCTCTCTGGTCAAATTAAAATAAATAAATAACGTTAAATCATTCTTTTTAAAAAACATTTTTATTTAACTTTATATGTGTGTGTGTGTATCTATCTATCTATCTATCTATCTATCTATGTATTTTTAAATTTTGATCAGAGAGGGACAGAGAGAGAAAGTAAGCCACCAGGTCTGGAATGCGAACCATGGTCAGCGATGTGGGAGTCCAGCACCCTCAACCACCACGACATCTGACGGCCCCAAATATAATAATTCAGAAAAAAAAAAAACTATTTCACATCTGACCCAATAACATAAATTACGCTAGCTTTTATTAAAAAAATACACAATTTTTCTTCAAATATAAAGCTTACCCTTAACTGACATCCAACTTTTTCATAAGCTTTGATGAGTCTATTTCTGTGATACATCATTATCCCATAATGATCTTTATTTCTGCAGTTGAATCCAAAAGTAATTCTCACTGTTTTAGTCTTAAAATGTTAAGGAAAAATATAAACGTAAATCTCACTCTCTACCAGTTACCCTATTCCATTATTTAATCAGGACTAAAGTATATAAAGGGTAAAGTTGGAAAGGATCAGAATCCCTATCGGGATAAAAGGGAAAAGAGGCAAAAGAAAATACACTTAATTGACATCTCTATTCGGCATCATAAAAAGAAAAATAAAGGATACTAAAAATTTGGGTCGATAGACATCACGTTCAATGTAGGCAAGACTCTTCGAAACTAGTTGTGTCTTCACTTTCTGTCCACGTAAGATGATCTGCATTCTTGGCTTTAGATACAATATACTGCAGTAAGCCTGCAAAAAAACATAATAGTAGCTGTCCTTTCTAAACATGATCTAATTTTTCAGCATTCCTTAACTCTCAATTGAAACAGAAAATTATTACCTGGTATTGATAAAAGACTCATTAACTCTTCAATAAAATAATATAGACTGTAAAGCAGAACTAGTTCTTCTGATTTGATTATTTTTCACTAAAATAAACTCAGTATACTATAGTGGCATTTGCGGAAAACAACCCACTGGGTTATATCAATACTAACATATTAGTGACTGAAAAAAAAAAAAAGACAAAACTGTGTATGGTATAATCTCATTTTAATTTTATTTTCTAACTTCCCTGTCAAGACTATGTTGCTATAATTTAAAAATCAGAAAGAAGGAGCCAGCAGGTAGCATGGTGACTAAGGTGCTAGATTCACACATGGCTAACAAAAGCTCAAGTCCTGGACCTGGCGGTTTGAAAATCATGCCAAGGAGACCAGCAGATGGTACAGCATCTAGACTCCCACATAGTTGACTGCAGTTTTGAGTCCTGGACCCAGCAGCTTAAAACTAACATTGGGTGCATGTGCATGTGTGCCCAAAATCCTGAGAGGAGAAGAGATTGTGGCGTGGCCAGCCCCCAAGGGGTAATATTTTGCTTTCTGTCTCTTATCTCTCTGGTGAGCACACACAGCCTATAGAAAAAAATCTCTCTTAAAAAAAAAAAAGAAAAAGAAAATCACACCAGGTGCATGTGTGTGCATGCCTGCCCAAAATCCCAAGAGGAAAATGGAGGAAAGGGGAATGTGTTGTGGCCTTCTCCATAGGGGGTGATTGCTCACTTTTCCTGTCCATCTCAGGTAAGCGTGTGCGCCCGATAGCAAAAACCTTTCAGCGGGGGAGGGGAGGGGGGGGGACGGGACGGGAAGAAAATCAATCTTATTTAAGCAAAAATAATGGGCAAGCTCTAACACAAACAAATACTATTATATAAGCTTAACAAGGCAAAATATTCTAACTAATGCACTAATACTTAAGCAGAGCAGACAAGCACAGTGCTTTTTAAAAATTCAGTTTTAACAATCAGTTGTCAGGTAGGCTCCATGGTACAACAGTAAAGCACTCAAGAGAAGCTGGATCCCAGGAACAGCATATGGCACAATGATTATGTCACTAGACTCTCACATAGTCAACCATGGTTCAAGTCCCAGACCTGGCAATTTGAAATTCACGCCAGTTGCATGTGCATTTGTGCCTAAGATCCCAAGAGGAGAATGGAAGAGAAGAGACTGCGATGTGACCATCTCCCCCGGGGGGTGATTTCTTGTTTTCTGTCTCTCTGGTAAGTGCATTTACCCTATAGCAAAAAATCTCTTTAAAAACAAACAAAAAAAAAAAAAGCTGGATCCCATATGGCAAAATGAGGTTCAAATCCCCAGTCTGGTCAGCCTAAAACATGCACACGTCCAAGTGCCCAGGATCCAGTGGTCTGGAGGACTAGAGAAGGGGAATTAACATATATTACACTATATGATGAATAAAAAACTAGCAAAAAACAAAGTGCCAGCCCATGGCCTCATGGTTAAGGTTACTGGATCCTACCCTGCAGTTCAAGTCTCACACTAGGGGCCAGTGCACGCATGCCCAAAATCCCAAAAGGAGGGAGAGATGGAAGAGAAGAAATTGAACCATGACTATACCTCCAGAGGGTCTCCAGTAAACACACACAGAAAGAAAGAAAGAAAGAAAGAAAGAAAGAAAGAAAGAAAGAAAGAAAGAGGGATGGAGGGAGGGAGGGAGAAAAGTAGTAAAAAAGAAAAAGGAAATTAGTCACCAAAACATACATTTTCATTAATTGCCAGTGGGCACCTGCATTCGCCAAAGACAGGGGCGGGGGGGGGGGGGGGGCAGAAAAAAGGAAAGGGGACTGCTCATCCTGCTCATCCAATAGAACAATCCTTTTTTTCTTCTATTTTTCCATTCTGTCAGGGTTTGTAGCACACGGGGCCAGCATTTTTGCAAGCTGCCAGGGCTAGGATCTGAATCACAGTTGGCCATGTAGGATCCAGCTTCTTATACAGAGAGTTTAACTGCTGTGCTACAAGGCTGGCTCCATTTAATTTCTTATTGCATGAAAGTTGAGATATTTTAGAAACTTGACCAAACTTGGCAACCTAGAACACATTAAACTATGTTCTCTATGCCTCTGCCACACTATCAGAAGTCTCTTTAGGAAATGCACTGAATAACTCAAAGGAGAGATGAATGGTTTAGCAGAAAACTGAAATTTAAACTTCTTTTACTTTTTATCTTGACTTCTGATTCCAACAGAAGTGGTGTGTCATCACATAAAATTGATGAATGATACTATACTTTGAAGTGTGCACTAAAACCACACCATCTGCTCTGGCTGCCTCTGTACATGTTTCATACTTCAGTAAGATTTTCTTAAAAGCTAAGACATAAGATATACCCAATAAATACATTAGCGAATATGAATTAAATAATAGTGAATATCTGCCACTTTAACTACTAGGACTTCAGAGAAAGTTACATCGAAAACTGCAAATGTTAAGTATTTCCTCAGGTTTAGGGCTAAGGAATGATTTCAGCACACAAAAAATAAAGTAAAAGGTATCCCAAGTCTTATCAAAGTTACTGAGAAACTTAATATTCAATGAATGATATTGACATTATCTTTATATTTCAAATTTTAAAAACATATCTATTTTTAAGGTGAAATCTCTGAGATATTTATTGTAAAATTATACTAATGAACATCATCTGTATTATTATAATTCACTGCTTTAAAAAGATAATTAAGGTCTGGGACCAGAGGATGGCATAATGATTATGTAGCTGGACTCCACGTAGTCAATTGTGGTTGGAGTCCTGGACCCAGCGGTTTAAAACTCACACCAGGCACTTGTGCACATGTGCCCAAGATCAATCCCAAGAGGAGAAAGGAGAAGAAGGGACTGTGGCATGGTCATCCCCTGGAGGGTGATTTCTCACTGTCTCTCTGTTTCTCTGGTGAGCACAAACGCCCTACAGTAAAAATTTCTCTCTAAAAAAAAAAAAAATATGTAATTAAGGTATCTTAGTTATGTATTTTAAAGTACTTTAAAAGACTCTAAATTTGGTGTTTTTAATTAATCCATTTGGCTATCACTGAACACACTGATTCCAATATTGCTGATTTACATAATGTAAGCACACAGTAAAATAACTATTAACACTGGTATACCTGATAGAAAAAAGGTTTTCTAAGCAAATACTACAAGTGTACTAATGAAAAATTTAATAATTTGGTTAATGTGTGAGATGTTCTGATTCAGAGATCACTGCACCCTTTATAACACAAGTAGATAACGTAAGCTCCAGCAGTTCCATTTCTTGATGATTTTCTCAAAGAGTTGAATACGTACCCTCAGGGAATAGTCACTTTCTGGGGCAATTTGGTCCATTCTTTCTTGCTTCTTGTACCCTTTCTTTCCAGATGTCTCATCTAAATCCTCAGGAATTCTGATATCATATTTATCCTTCTCAAAATCAAATTCTGTTGCATTTTTGTAACTATAATTTTTAGAAGAAACCAAAATTTAGCTTCTCAGCAAGATAAGCATGTAAATATTATAGCTGTTTTCAAAAACTGCAAAAATAAGCCTACATGTGGTGAATGAGAGGTTGCAAATGCCAGGGAAAAAAGAATTTGTAAAGATATGGGACCAGCAGTTAGTATAATGGCTATGTCGCTGAACTCCCATGTAGTCGACCGTGGTTCGAGTCCCGGACCCAGTGGCTTAAATTCATGCCGGGCGTGTGTGCATGTGTGCCCAAGATGCAAGAAGGAATTACAGCATGGCCGTCCCCCCTGGAGGGTGATTTCTCGCTTTCTGTCTCTTTGTCTCTCTCTTTCTGGCAAGTACAGGAGCCCTGTAGCAAAATCCTCTCAAAAAAAAAGAATTTGGAAAGATGCAAAAAAACCTGTATCACTCATACATAGGTGGTGGGAATCAGTACAGCAACTCTGGAAAAACAATTTGGCAGTTTCTTAAAGAACTAAACACATGGGCTGGCAGGTGGTAAAGTGGTTAAAGTGCTGGACTCCCACATGGCCAACCACAGTTCGAGTCCCAGACCTGGCAGCTTGCTTTTTCACTCTCACTTTCCCTTTCTCTTCCTCTCTGGTCAAATTAAAAATAATAATAATAAAAATAACAAATAAAATAATTCTTTTTTTTTTTTCTTAAAGAGCTAAAAATGCAACTACATAAGGCCCAGCAATTACACTCCTGGGCATGTATTTTAGGAAAAATAGACTATATTATTTGCACAAAAATCTGTACATGAATATTGTAGCTTTATTTGTAATAGTCAAAACTGTAAATAACCCAGATGTCCTTTAACAGGTGAATTTTAAAACATACTGTGGTCCATCCATAAAATGCAACATTACTTAGTCAGAACATGGAGCAAACTACTCACATACACAAGAACCTGAATGAATAGCTAGAGATCTGTGCTGATTGAAAAAAATCAATCCCAGAAGGGTTCATACTGTATGATTCCATTTATATAACATTTCTGAAGTGACAATATAATAGAAATGGAGAACAGATTGCCAGGTGCTAAGGAGGCAGTAGGGATCTGTGAGAAGAGGACCCAGTCATAAAGGGCAACATGAGAGATTCTTGAAATGATGAAATTGTCCAGTATATCGACTGTATCAATGTAAATGTCTTGTCAATATCACTAATATTACTACAGTTTTTAAATATTTTACCATTGGAGGAAACTAAGTAAAGGGTACAAGAGGTCTCTATATTATTTATTACAACTGGACATCAATCTGCAATCATCTCCAAAGGAAAAGTTTAACTGTTATTACAAACAAAAATAAAGCCAAAAGCTCTAAGAGGAAGGGGAGTATGGAGGTGAAAACAAGAAAAAAGAAAATCCAGGAGGTCAGAAATACATGTGCTTCAGTTTTTTATGTTTACCACTATTTGTGCTTTATTCCTATGGTTCAATATATCTTAGCTCTCTTAATATTACACATTAATCCCATATTCTAAAACTTTTATTGCAAATAATCTTCTCACAAGGATAAAGGACTATAAATTTCATCAACATTAAAAAACTCACATACATTATTTTCCTCACAAGATGTTAAATCATGCTTAGCTTTAAGTAAGGAAAAAATTTACAAAAGGTTTCTTTTCCCAACTTTCACAAGTTAGACTTGTTAGCTGGGCTTCTCATTTCTGTCCCCCCATTTCTTCATTTCTCCTTTTGGAGAGGGGAGTGGTACAACAGAAAGCTGCTAATGAAGAATAAATGGCAGGAACAGGGACTTAAGCAAAATGAAAAATTTTTTTGATATCTTTTTTTATACATTCAATGTATATCATTATAGCTTACAAAATAAATTTTCCAAGCATGAATACAATGTATATTAGTCCAGTTTAAGATATTTTCTTATATGCTACGATCAATAGATAATTTTTCACTTTTGTGTCCGTTACATGTTTTGCTCCTTTTTCCCCTTGATTAGCAAAATGAATACATCTCAAATTGAAGCCAAAGTTATTTCAATAAAACATCCCTTAAAAAGAAATATCTTGGGGCGAGCAGGTGGCATGGTGGTTAAGGTGCTGGCCTCCCACATAGCCAACGGCCATGGTTCAAGTCCTAGACCCAGTGGCTTGAAACTCAAGCACATGTGGATGTGTGTTCAAAATCCCAAGAGAAGAATGGAGAAGGGACTACAGGGTGTCCATCTCCCTGAGGAGTGGTTTTTTACTTTTCCTCTCTGGCTCTCTGGTGAGTGCATGTGCCCTATGGCAAATATGTAAAAAATATATATAAAAAAAAAATAATAATAAAGATACACCTTTAACTCTGCTGAAAAACTATCTTTGTATGTTCTTTTACTTTGGATAACGAGAGAGAAATATAATGAAATCTATCCTGCATATGACCTTTACTTCTCAAATGGTCAACAATTAGCTGTGGTCCACACATTTACCTTCTAAGATTCCAAATGATGATCCTTGTCCCCTTCTTTCCCATAATAGCATCAAGTTCTGCCAATAATTTCTGTTCCGTAGAAAACAGAGAATATTCCAGAATTGCAGCAAGGCTTGCTTTTGATTCTGCTAAATTAATCATCTGTCGTATACCTTCAGTTAAAGACTTTGATCACCAACACATTTTTTCACAATCACAATATGGAAACCAACTCTAATAAACTTAACAGAAAAACTATTTCCTATTTTGTTTTATTTTTGAAAGATTTTTGCTGTAGGGAGTGTGCACTCAATGGACAAAGAGTAAGAAATCACCCCCGGGGGCAGGTGTGTGGGTGGGGGGTGGGGGATGGGTGGACATGTTGCAATCCCTTCTCCTCCTTCTCCTCTTGGGATTTTGGGCATGTTTGCACAAGCACCCAATGTAAATTTCAAGCCTTCAGGTCCGGGACTCCAACAACAGCCATGTGAGAGTGCAGCACCTTTATCACTATGCCACCTGCTGACCCCTCCTAAATTCTTTTTAACTTTTAAAATGCCAGTTTGATTTCAAGGGAACAAGTATAAAAAATCAGCACACTTACTACTATAACTAATTTAATCCTTCCTAATATTTCAATATGTTTGTACATAAAACATTTCCCTAAAGCTATTTTGTCTTTCATTGATTATTAATGAAATTTTCAAGCATGAAAGTCTTAATGTTCCAAAAAAGCCTGAAATAAAGAAGCAAGTTACAGAGACTTTAACGTAAAAAACATCCACTTATGCTGAGGCTTTCTTTGGGACAACTCTAACAGAAAGAGCAAAGGACACATCAGGTTTAAGAAAAGGCAGTGGACAGAGATAAGAGCTGGAATAGGTGTGATGTCAAAACAAGAATTCAGAGGACGGCGAAAGGATGAAATGATTCAGAATATTTCTTCAGTTTCTCCACAGCTTCCATTTTAAAATCAAAGGATATGGTGCTTGTTGAATGCCACTATCGGGACAACAACATGTTCTGCTTTTATGGCTTCCAAGTAGGTCTGAGACAAGAAGCCTACACTCATGCTTTCTCCATTTTTGGTAAATACAATTGCATCTTTACCCAAACGCATAGAGCCTGACTTGAAGCCATTCCCATACAATCCAACCGGGACATGACCATTCATGGTGACTTTGTCACTGAAGCCAAAGCTAAAAAGAAAAGAAAGATGTTAAAAATAAATACCTATAATCTTCTTTCTTTTTTTCATTCAACAAGTATAATAACAGGGGGCCAGCTGGTGCCACAGTGGTTACACAGCTGGCTCCCACATGGCTGACTATGCAGTTCAAGTCTTGGATCTGGCAGTTTAAAAAACACATTAGGCATAAGTGTGTGCATGTCTAAAATCTTAAAAGGAGGGAGAAATGGAGAAGAGACTGTGACATGACCATCTTCCATAGGGGATGCTTTCTCACCCTCCCTCCCCATCCTTCCCCATTCTTCCCCAGTCTCTCTCCAGTAGGTGCACACACCCTCTGTCAAATTTAAAGTGTTCTTTTATTAGAAAAGAAAAGTGTAACACCAAATAAAAAGCTTGGGTTCAATTGCTGGTCTTACGTGTCTTATCTACAAATTCTTAGGCAAATTACTTCTAACATATCTTGATGTGTTTCCCCATTTTTGTAATAAAAGAATCCAATTCTACACCCCTGGGATATTAGGATTATAGGAACTAAGAGGAGCTCATTACCTGGTACTTCCTAGCTAAATAGCCAAGTTATAATCTGGGCTCCTGGGACTTCAGTATCTCTTCTTCTAGTTATGAGTAATTCTCCTATTCTTAGCAAGGCTATTATGGTACAGATAACGAGGGGTATCAACTCAACTTTCCGGCAGCAGAAGCCATACTAAAGGGATAGCACAGGGGTTGGCAGGTGGCGTGGTGGTTGAGGACGCTGGACTCCCACGTGGCTGACTGCAGTACAAGTCCCCAGACCTGGCAGTTTGTTTTCTCCCTCTCTCTCTCCCTCTCTTTCTTTCTCTCACTTTGTCCCTCTCTGGTCAAATTTAAATAAATAAATAAATAAATAAAGTTACATAGGGTAATTCTTAAAATAATAATATACTAGTAGTTATAAAAAAAATAGGTACGGGGCCAGCAGGTGGCAGGTGGTGGTTAAGGCACTGGATACTCTCACATGGCTAACTATGATTCAAGTCCTGGACCTGAGAGTTTGCTTTCTCACTCTCTTTCTCTCTCTCTTTCACTTTCTCTCTCTCACTCTGTCTCTCTCTGGTGAGCGCATGCACATGTGTCTTGTAGCAAGAATGAAAAATAATAACAAAGTAACTAATTCTTTTAAAAAAAGGGAAAATTTCAGAATAGATCAGAAGTTAACACTTCATATTTTAAAAACAAAACAAACTTATGACAAAAAGTATGACTCATAAAACCCTTTAATTATAGGAACCAGCTGTTGGCGTAATGGCTATGTCGCTGGACTCCCACGTAGTCAACTGTGGTTCGCGTCCCGGACCCGGTGGCTTAAAACTCACGCC